AAGAATCAAAGTTGCTGCAAGGAAGCATTCCTAAGTCAACTGCCTACAAAACAAAATGGGCAATTAAAATTTTTTCATGAATGGCAGATAAATAGAAAAGTTAAAGTTCCTGTACTTGATTCTGGTGGCGCTTTTAAAGGTTATGGAGATTTGTACAAACAAAGTTCAGTCATTGAGTACAGATTTGGCAGATAGGGATGCCAATGCTTTAAACTACTGGAGTTAGTAAATTTGTCCAGGAGGTTGTGAATAGTGAAGGGAAGGTGTATCCAGCAAGAACCCTTTATGGAATTATCTGTGGCATCTGAAGGCATTTAGAAGAAACTGTGGGAAGCAAAGCTTTAAATCCTTTCGATCCTTCAGATAAAAGGTAAGATCATAGTTATGTTCATTGCAAGATATCATTTTCATTAAATACTACAATTAGAATAGAGATTTATCTTTTTTTAATCTTCCTATATTATTTTAACGCAGATTTGCCATTTTTCGTCATTGTCTTGATGCTGATTTGAAGGATAGCATGCGGCAAGGTGTGAGTTTGCAAACAAAGAAAGAAGAGAAAGAAGCTGTCACAGATGAGGACGAAGAAAAGTTCTGGAGTGCAGAATCATTTGGCAGAGGAACAGCTAAGCAGCTATTAGATACTATTTATTTCTATAATGGTAAAATGTTTGGCTTATGCAGTGGCAAACATAGGAAGATTTGTGTGAATAACTTTTCTTTAGGGCCAAATGTTATTAACTTTGAAGAAAATTTAATATGTAAAACTTTCCATGGAGGTATAATTAACTGACCTTAAGTGTGAACCAAGAAAAGTGTTTGCCATGAGAGAGGTCAAGAGCATGATGGATATTTAGTGCAGTTTTATCAGTTGTACATTGGATCGGTTGAAACCCTTTCATAAAGAAATGAAGCTTTCTATTTCAAGCCAAAGTCGAACACGTTGTCTTTTGAGTCAATTGTCCGGTAGGGATCAACACCTTGAATTTTATTTTGCCAAATTTGTGCAAGGCTGCGGGAATCAAAAGAAAAACAGCACGTTGTTTGCTTGTCACTTGTGTTTCTAAACTCTTTGCTAGTGGTGTAGAAGAGAAATTAATTAGAGAGAGAACCAGGCACAGGTCTAATGCATTATTTGCTTATGAGAAAACAAGTGCGAAAAAAGTTTCTCATGTATCAGCATTATTAGGAGCAGAAACGAAGACAGAAAATAAGAAAGAGGAATTTAAGTGTAACGGATACGAAGAAAAAAGCTCAGAAGGTTTTTCAATTTTTAGCGCTTCTTCGTTCACGAATTGTGATGTAAAAGTTTTTGTCAACGAAAAAATATAACTGACAATGTAGCTGATTAATAATTAAAATGATTAATTAAACTGGAGTATTGTTTTCGTGTTCAATTTGTTTTGTTTTGATTCATAAATCTCTATGTCCAATGAGAAGACAGATGAAAACCACGCATGGTTTTGATATGTGTTCCAAAACAGGTGTGGTTTTCATCTTTGTTTTCATTGGGTATCAAAACTCATGCATGTGACGAATTCAGCCATTTTTTATTGGCTATCAAACTTATGAATTATTGATGAGTTTTAGAAGGCTGTTCCCACAATGAGTGAATTTGCTGAAAAATGGAAGGGCTTTGGTCACCTTGTTGGTGTTTGCACTTGGGCGTTTTTGTTTATTAAGATATGCCATTCCTTGCAGGATTGCATTGACAATTATGATATTTGTCAATTCTGGTGGTGGTGGATATTATTTTTTCAAGCATGCCAGATGGAATGGTGAGAATCTTTCTAGCTCTTGTTTATTGTACTTTTTAAATGTTCATAATTATTGATATGATTTAAAATACTGGTACCTGACCAGTTATGAAATGTGTCAAGCCACTGTGTCGCCAAAATGAAAGTAGTGTTGAGGGGCTTTCACAGTGTTCAACCAGCTTCTGAATAGAAAAGCTCTGCCCTGATTGGTAAATTCCCTGCAACCCAGGCATGAGTTCATCTCAAAGGGCAGCTTCAACACAGATGCAACATTGCATGTGAGATTGACCGCTTGTTTTGGTTAACTTTGTCTACCTGTTTTTTTTTTTTACTTAATCCTTAAACTCCTAAGATCTGCTTGTTAATTCTCCCCTCTAGCTGTTACACATTAATTTTTCTTGTAAATAAGATAGGAGAATGTGGCATCATATCAAGATAACAACTACCTGATTAACAGGGCTCGACACCAACAGTAGCCCACTAGCTGCAGACTAGTAGAAATTCAGTTTTGGCTAGTGGTTTTCAATTTCCACTCGCCAGTTCGGCCAGTAAACAGAATGAAATTGTCGTAAAATCTAAAACCATCTAAGGTGTCACTAGCCACTTGGCTTGTAAGTTGAAAAGTTAGTGTCAAGCCCTGATTAAGTATTCTGACTTGCAACTTGTTTGCTGTATAATGTGTGTATTTTAATGGGAGAAGGTACTTGTTAATCACCTCTACATGTGTAGCAGTGAAAGGATTAATGAATTTTTATGTTCGAGTTGGCCCCTCTTTTAGAGAAACTATCATACACTTTTTTTTTAGATATAGTTAGTTAACCTTGGCCCAATCTAATGGACCATTAAGGGCAGTAAATATAACTTATACCTTGATCATGTGTGCAAGATAAATGTTCCTTAGCAATACGTAATTATTGGTAAAGGCTGATAGTTTGGAAAGAAACTGTTTGGGGCTGCGTCGGTGGGAGTAACGAAATAATTTGGATATATCAACAAAGTTGAAATGGTAAATTGGCCACCCTAATGATTACAAAAGCTGACGTCTCGAGCCTTAGCCCTTCGTCGGAGCGAATTATTGGTAACCCTATTTAAATGAATTCTAGCACTTGAAGACAATAGAACAGGGTATGCTTACCAGCCACAATAAATAATTCCTTTCTCTCTTACAGGACTAACAGTTGCAGACCTTGTCTTTCCATGGTATGTTTTTACTATATTCCTTCTACATTTAACATTTTTTACGTATTTTTTTTAATAATGAGTTACACTTAGAGCCCCACTTACTCAGACTCCCAAGAGAAACAAAAAATTATTTGAGTTAGTTAGTTGGGATTTGAGTAAATAACTGAAAAAAATGGGTTGAGGGAAATCAAATCTTGTTTGTTTGAATTAGTGAGGGGTTTGTCAATGAGGTTCTAATGTAGCATTGATTTTCAATCTGGACAGTAGTTTGTTTTTAGCCATTGTATTGTTGGCCATTGTGTGTTCTTTGTTAATTTGCTGATTGATTGATTGATTGATCAATTATCATAATGACTGCTGTTTGACTGTTTTATCATAAAGTCATATATTTTTTATTTACAAGTACAGTGTGTGTCTCCATAGGATAATTACTAAAAGGCATCAATTTTGTATGAGATAATTAATACTATTTTATCTTAAAATGAGCATTTATTTAGTTATGAGGAAATGAAGCTAGGGAAAATGATGTAGACACAAAGGCCTTTGCAAGAAAAGTCTTAAATTGACGTTTAAACGAAGGTGGGGCGGAGAAAAACTCTGCAAAAAGAAATTTTTGATAAGGAGATATTTACCGACTTTTTTCTTTCTTCTTCATAGGTTTATGTGGATTATGGGTGTTTCCATGACTATTTCATTTCAGTCAATGAGACGTCGCCAAGTTAGGCCCATTACCATCTTTACCAAGATTATTCGTCGCACACTCATTCTGTTTGCACTGGGGCTTTTTGTCAGCAATTGTAAGTTGATGATACTCAGTTAAAAAGCCCATATGCAACTTTCAGCAAGTTGTTTGTGCTTTGTTTTGTGTTTCTGTTCCTGTAACATCCTCCTTCAAACTGTGAAATAAAACGTTATTACTTTCTCCTCACCTTTCTGCTATTTTATGGTTGCCTTTTCACTCAATTTCAATATTCTGCTCTGTTTGGGATTAAGTGACATGTTCTCAGCCAATGAGCATGCTGAAATTTTTGCATGTACATGACAAAGGTTACTCTTCTTACGGGCTGAAATTTTGTTGGCACACAGATGCAGACCTTGCTCACTACAGAATACCGGGAGTCCTACAAAGATTTGCCGCTTGCTACTTTATCATTGCTATGCTCCAGTTGGTTATTAACCCTAGAATTGATTCGATTCTGGTAAGTTGCATGCATTTAATGTTACACACATACAAGTACTTGCACAACAAAGCATGTTAACGGCATTTAGTAACTGCTCTTTCAGTTGTTTCATTGCAATCTTAAATTCAGTTTGTTCCTTTCCTTCATGGATTGAAATGTGAATACTTTGAATTTGATAGCCAGTTGCGGCATGGTGGAACCCCATCAGGGATGTCGTGGCACTGTGGGGTCAGTGGTTGGTGATGGTGGGTCTGTTAGCAATTTATATCATCATCACTTTTGCTCTCAAACTTGGTGGTTGTCCGAGGTAAGGGGCTAAAGAATTGTTCTTTTGACTTTTAAAATTTTCGTTTTCACTTGTATTGCTGACAACTACTGTAAGCAAACAGTAAACGGTAGAGTTAAGCGGTGTGCAAGACGTTGATTGCATATGAGCCAAATAATCTCTTAGCTCGCCAACGAGCTCTTCGTCACTTACGTAGTTGAAGAGCGTTGGATCGCGAAATAAAAAATGTTAGAGTTCGATATCTAGTGGGAAAACTCAGATTTTTTTTTTCTTTATCACACGCTTGTGTCATATGGAATGACGACTTTTATTATGAGATATTTTGTTTTTACAGAGGTTATGTCGGACCTGGAGGTCTTGCTAAACTTGATGCTTACAACTGCACCGGAGGGAATGCTGGTTACATTGACCGACACTTTTTTGGACCAAACCACATATACGGGCATCCTACCTGCATGGTAAAGTTTTTAAATAATTATACTTTCTTATCTTAAAAATTTAACGGTAATAGATTTTTCGAGCACTTTTCGATATGATGTCGTAGAACCAAATCCAAGAAGTCACATTGAGCAATCTGAAGAAAGCTTCACATAGGAAGTAAGCATTGGTAGTTCGAAAGTATACACTCATAACGCTGGGAAGCTTCACAGGTCATTGGGTTCGTACGGGTCCTGGAAAACCTGAGAAGTCCTGGAATTTTATTTTAACATTTTCCAGGACTGGAAAGTCCTGGAAAAGACTACAGGGTCTGGATAGTCCTGGAAATTTGTTTAAATCAAGCTAGAAAGTTTTCAGAATTTACGTGATAAGAAATGTGTATAGACTAAAAGGAGAATTGATTTTGAAATATGGGGAATGAAAGGGTTAAAGGTGAAATCTGGAGTCCTGGAAATATCAAGTTGAGTCCTGGAGAAGTCCTTGAAATTTGTTTCTGAAAAACGGTACAAACCGTTGTTTCGTTTTTTCATCTGATTGTTAAAGAGGGTGAGAGGGTGGTGTGATTTTTGTACACCAATTATATAGAGTAGTCATGGAAATCTCATGCAATTCCACATTTCTTTCGACACTCGACGGAAATTTTCTATGCTACATTGCTGTCGAACCTCCCGTGAACAATCACAAAAATTTGCATTCGCGTCAAACTCTCATATCTGAGTCAATTTTAGCAATGTCGCAGCCAGTTGGTCAACCAGTAGTCTTTCTCAAGGGAAACACCTTTGTTGTTATATCTGGTTGGTAGAACCGTTTGTAACCCGATACACCATCCCTCAAAATTCTGACTGGTAAGGCCGGAAAATCTACACAATATCAAGCTTCCTCTATTTATCATCTTACAAAGTTCATAGAACCGGTATTGTTTCAGCCGGGAAAACGTAGCTCGGCGAGGTCGCAGAGAAACTTTGGTTTGCATTGACAGGTCCAAATATTTCCTGTTATTGTTATCTAATGTGACAGAAGTTGTTTGATTTGAGAAATAATACATGAGGATTTTCTCTTTTCAGGAAACATATAAGACAAAGGTTCCGTACGATCCAGAGGGCGCCTTGGGTACCCTGACATCTGCTTTCCTGGTGTTCCTGGGAGTTCAGGTTAGAATCAGTAGCTTTCCATGTTATTCTCCATGTCATCCACCTGGAGTGCATCTAGAAGCTGACCTTTTTTGAAGCGTGAATTACACGTGTTTTGCCGTCAGCCTCGCCTTTGCACTTCTTTCTGACCAGCCGACGATAATTTTGAACTTTTACCTCGTGATGACCCTTCACCCCCAAGATAGCATTTTCTTTACTAATTCTCCTTACTGTCTGCCATTCAATTCTTACCATGTTAATTTGGAGAATTTGGTATTGGATCAACTGATAATCCCCCAATTGATATTTTTCTTTATTCTCATCACTTGTCAGTCTATCTGTCTCGAACACCGATGGAGTTAAATGAAATAGATTTTGTTTCTTTAAGCTGTAAACCCTCAAACGCTGTTCACCGTTATGGGATATCTCACTTTACACAAATATAACTACAATGTTACGTGGAATTTTCTGAATTTCAGGCTGGATACACCTTGCATACTTTTCCATATCACATATCTAGAACAAAACGGTGGATAATTTGGTCCTTAATACTTGTGAGTATCATAGAAAACAAACACAGTACGTTCCAAACAATCCTTTGTAATTTTTGTGGCGAGCAAGGGATAAGCCGCTTGTAATTAAGAGAATGATTATTTTCCTTCAATTTTAATTTATTTATCCTTTAACTTGTATTATCTTGGTTAACTTTCTCATTATTATTAATCGTATCCATATGACTATCGCTATCGTTATTGTTTTTATGGTCATTTTCTTTACTGATGAATATCATTGCGCGACTCCTTCACCTTTTCAGGGCAGCATCACCCTTGCACTCGCAGGCAAGAATAACGACAGTTTCATTCCGATAAACAAGAACTTATGGTAAGTGAGTGGGTTACTGCGCTACGAAGAATTCGAGGAGAGAACACTTCGGAGTATGATTACATTAGAGGCCGTGCGAAAAATAATTATGCTTCGGCGTCGCATGTTGAAAATGTAATCTT